TACAACTAATACTCAAATGATTTTTAGGCAACTATTATCCTAATAGACTGACTAACAGGGAATCAATAAAACAGAGTAACACTACTGAGCAAATGATGTATATATTTGTAGTGTCACAAAAATCGTATAAAATTACAAAGTTTTTAACTGAATCAGTCATAAAATGAATAAAAGTGGAAATACTTATTCAGCTTTCATTGAGACCATGAACCGATTGATGTTAGACCACCATTGGAAACCTGGAAGCACTGGATGGCCGTTTCGTCCTATCGTGGGACTCCTCAGCAGCGCGCATCCACGTTACCGCTCACGGGATTTGAACCCATGGCATCCAGTCTCGCGCGCGAACGCTTATCCTACTTGATCACTGAGCCAGCCGGCATCCAACGGTGTTAATGTCTAACCTCAGCCAATTCGCCACATTGCACGACCATCTTCGATTGTACTGAGGTAGATACCTGTCACTACTCAACATGGATTAGCTTCACTGGTCACGGCTTCCCACTAGAACTCCGATAATTCCCTCACGAAGCTAGTCACTAGTGAGCACATGGTAGAATTCTCATTTACAGTTGATGGTTAGGGTTAAAATGTTAGATCACGAATTGACATCAGTTATAATACCAAAACATCATTAAGACAAATGTATGAATGCATTTCGCTTCAAAATTCGTGACTCGTTAACTTATATCTGATTGGTTTGTCCATAAATTATTGTCTCGTCCTCAATATTCATCTCGGTAACACCTCAATAACATTTATTCACGAACATTTGCAATGATTTTATGAAGTTGATATTTACTCTTGAAAGAAATATGATCATTTAAATTGTAGACGATCGTAAATTTCTACAACATAGCTGTTGTCTTTTCAGTAATCATGAAAAATACTGTGTATTCTTGTAAAATTCTCGGTAAAAACTTTAATGTATAAGGTATATCTATGGGGTATTTTTACTTGAGAAGCTTTTTTGTCAGTGATATTATCAAAACACTATATATAACAAAGCGTTACTGTTTATCAGTGAAGTTTACAATAAAACAATAAAGATAGCTGTTTAGAAAATTCGTGAGACACAAATTAGTTCTTGGTCTGTACATAGTTACTTGACATTTTATACTATAGTAGGTGATGCAAATATGTAGTATATTAAGATGGTTGCTGGTGGTGAAATTCACTAATGGGTACTACATCTTCTTTTAGACCCATTATCAAGGATTACTTTAGTCTGAGTATTGATTTTAATATTGAGACTTAAATGAAGCACCTGTCATTCTAAAGGTTAGAGAATTATTTGTCAAGCTACTGAGTCAGATAGATGTCATATTTTTAATGGGGATAAAATGATATATTTAATGAAGCATATCACTAAAGGGAAAATCGAGATAATCTTGGTGCACATATACCAATAAATACTCTTCAATAAGATTCCTCAGTATCGAAAATGTGGAAGTTCAAACCCTTACATTTGTAATACATATTGTTGGATTCGGATGAAATAAGGTTGACCAAAAGAAAACACAGCATTCGACTATGAAATTATTAGGTATTAATCTGAGCCATTTAGGTCAATATAAGCTTTTTAGTTGGGTTAGGCTCAATACTCCTAGACTTTAATCGACAGTTTTCTAAACTGACAGAGTTCCAGCCATTCTCTATTTCCTTCTATATATATGATGATACACGTAACTGTACTGACGTATAAAACTTGTTTTCTTGATTTATTTACTTTAATATTAACATTAACTGTTATGTTCGAGTTAAACTGCATTCTAAGCATATTGATGGGTCTGCTGTATTTACGAAGATATTTTAAAAACCAAACAAACATTAATTCATAGATGGATAGTGGTTAGCAGTGGGATCCAGGACGCGCGTTTCGTCCTATTTGGGACTCGTCAGATGAACGTACCTACATTTCGGAGTTGATTTTCACTCCGGGATTCAAACTCAGTACCGTTCTCTTCAAACACCATCGCGTTATCTACTTAGCTACTGAGTCTTGATAGCCACCTGCTTGTACAATGGAGTTAAGTTACATTCATTTGGTGTATTTTACTTGTATCTTACCATTGTCATTTAGGACTGCGAATGACCACTCTCTTGTTGTCATTTGTGCATCCTATGCGAACTGCCTCGCCGACGAGTCCCAAATAGGACGAAACGCTCATTCTTACTTCCACTGTTAGCAACTATCTATATTTGCACATTAGTAACTCAATAGTTACGAAAAGAATATACAAATAAAATAATGAAATATTTTAGAATATAACTGATAACATGGTTAGAAAATGAGGTAAAGTCATTTTTCATCATTGTTAACCTGTAAATAGTATAAGACTTAAATTCAGTCAACTTGTATATTTCTCCTTAAAATATTTATTCCATGGTAGGAATAAGTAAAACTGTTCCTTATTTTCAGAACACATATCTACAGTAATTTGTTTATATTCAATGATAGAATGTTTATATTTACTGATTTCATGTCATAAAAATGTTTATTACAAAGGTATATTGGTAAAATCTAATACTAGCAGGTCACACGACTAGCTAAACATTAGAAGAAGAACAAAAAGAAACACAATTCATATGTTTCAATAAGCGGTAAAACACCATACTTTTACTGCTTTACATATTAGACTGTTACGTCAAATAAGAAAAAAAAGGGAGGGTGATACACTATGACTACCATCAGAAAAATCCGACAGG